AAAATTCTAGAGGGATTGGCAGATAGATGGGTGATGATATCTTGGCAGATGCCTTCTCTGAACTTCCTACACCAGAAGTGCTCTAACGACACTAGCTCTGACACGTACCGACTGAATCGAAAGAACTCTACCTCGTACTCAAATACATAATGATCTCCTTGCGTCAACTATAAAAATTGATCTCTAAGATCATCCATGTCTACCTCGCCTATATACTTATAGCGAATCTTCGCTAAAAACTGCTCCCAAGTAGGTCGTTCAGACTTCATGGACATCTCGACTGTATCCCACCAATCTATTGTGTCACCCTTCAGCAAGGAGGTGACACACTTGAGCATACCCACATGAGTTAGGTGTAGCTGACAAAGGGTTGTCTGAGTCTCCCTCAACCACTGATCAGATGTTACTGGGTCGTCGTCTCTTGATCCATAAAAGTATGTGGTCTGATACATCCTGAGTCTATCAACAGGGGACTCATACTGTGCTAAAACAAGGTGGGGTTGGTTGGGTAGGGCTACTGGAGTCCTAGGTAAGGCTCTGGCTATGCGCATCAAGGTAGCAGTCATCTCTCTAAATAAAGTTGTCTCCTCAACTTTCGCATCCCCAAGCTCGTCAAAATCTATCTCGTGAATGAAATCATCGCCGATATTGCCCGCGAGAGAAGCTCTACTCTCATCCCTACCTTCCTGACTATGACCTGGTCTCTCATCCATAACTAAACTCTGAAAATTTAAACAATAAGAGGAGTTACTATCACTATTTCAAAAGCAGAAGTACTCTTTACATCTCTAAAGGCATGTATACTCATAAACTTTTACTAACTCTCTGACCTGCAGGTCCTAGGAACGTCTAAACCTAATGCCCTGATACCACTAAATATAACACCTTAAACCAGTACGACACATAATCATCAACTGATCAGAATGCCATACTGAACCACTGGAGTGGCTAACCAAATTTTTCTTTTAAATTTTTCCATATTAAAAATGACAATTTGTAACCACTCATGCTAAAATAAATCAACTACAATTTAAATAAAATAGTTTACATTAAGAGCTCCCAAAATAATATTTAAATCATACAGACCATAGTTTAAAATGAGTTACGACTCATATCAAAATATACAAATCAGAGTTTACAATTATACATGCCCTCTAAAGATGAACTCGAGACTTACTCTGCACTATCCGGGTCCGGATCACTGCTGTCAAAAAGTCCACACACTGCTCCTCGACTAACCTACGTAAGGAAACAAATTTCAAACGTTGAGCTAACTAGCCCAATGCTACACTAACAACTAAGTCATACTAAAAGTGTTCATGTCATGCTCAAACTAACTGATAACTACAATAGTGAGTATACTCGATTATAGCACTCTTTACTCTATGGTAGACATCATGGTGCGACTGAGGGTTCTACATCTCGAAGATCACACACCCCTATAATCTACCGAGAATGGTTGCTTGGAATCTCTACATCAATCAACCCCATCGACTAGCCCACTCCTTGAGTGTTGGACCTTGCACCCAAGCTAATTAGCTTTAAGTGCCTCGCACACTACCTAAGGTTATATCCGGACTAAATCTATACTTTTGATAATGCTAGCATTTTCTAAAGGAACATAGGTGTCCTTATCGTTTCCCAAGCATCATCCAAGGCTATTTTTATGTCATCCTTATTGATCTTATTTCTAAGTGTAATATTAATATCATTAATATTCTTACTTGTAGTCTTGTTTGATGATAAAATGAAGTGTTGGGGTACCTCGAGTCTAATTCCCTTAAAAACTGACATTTTTGCCTAAACAGACTAAAAGTATCGATATTAGCCCAAGAGTATCGATACTCCTACAAAAGTTTTGATATTTTATATAAGTATCGATACTTTTAAACATTCTTTTCTGCTCAGTTTTGAAACTTTCTGGGAGTTTTGAAACTTTCTGGGAGTTTTGAAACTATGACTCAAAGTTTCGATACTTTTGAAACAGTATCGATACTCTTGCTGAGAAACTCACGAATTTGCCCAAAACGAAGAAAGTATCGATACTATCTCTATAGTATCAATACTCTACCTACAGAAGTCATAAACACATACGAAAATACTATATTTCAATCCCAAAGACCCTAGAGAGGTCCCCAAACATGCTTAAAGTTTTATTGATCAATAAGGATCATAATATAGGCTTTAAACACATTTATAACTCTAAAACAAGAATTTCACTGAGAAACTCACGAATTTGCCCAAAACGAAGAAAGTATCGATACTATCTCTATAGTATCAATACTCTACCTACAGAAGTCATAAACACATACGAAAATACTATATTTCAATCCCAAGACCCTAGAGAGGTCCCCAAACATGCTTAAAGTTTTATTTGATCAATAAGGATCATAATATAGGCTTTAAACCATTATAACTAAAACAAACAAGAATTTCACCATGAAAATGCTTATCATGCTCAACTCAAACATTTAAAATATATTGAACTTCTAATGACTCACTATGAGTATAAAAGAGTTGTAAAGGTGTTATCTTGCTCCTTGGATGGCTAGAAACATTCTCAACTCACTCAAAATTCAATTTTTCTTTTCCTTTAGCTCTTGAGATTTCTCCTATCTCATTCACTAAACAAAATGACAATGAATTACCAATCCATCTAGGGGTTGAATAACATCTAACAGCTCCCTATAACTCAAAACTTAGCTAGAATCCATAGATTCCCACAAATATCTCAAGACCCATTTTTGTTTCTATGCTAAAAACTAAGAATGGAACTTAAAATAAGCTTAGAGGATGAAGATTTACATTCTCACCTTAGTTTCCCTACACTATACTTGAATGCTTGAACTCTCACTTGGAATGGAAGAGTGAAGAAAGAATTATGGAAGAAAGAAGAGCATTTGGTGAAAGATAAGGGAGTGGTTCATGGAAAAAATAGAATATGGAAGGGTTTTCATCTTTCAAAATTAACCATGGGTAAACTACACTTTTAGTCTCCCAAAATTTAATTTACACACATCCATAATCAACCACCAAACTCTTGGGCCTTAACTCAAGGCCAAAAACAATAAACTGGTCAACTAATTTATAGGTACTTTGGGCTCATCCTTGGGTCTGGGTTGACTCGAACTACTAACCAGGGTTTCGGGGTATTACACCAAGTTTCTCTCCACAATTCGAACTTAACAAATTTCATTCAAGAATTTCTTCGAACATCTGTGATGTCCTCTAATTCATGAGTGTTTAATGAATTCGGAAGCTTGTAAGCAACTCGATTTGACCTCGGCAAAATTTGATAAAGTTCGATTCAGGTTAATCGATTAGAACTCGAACTCGATTCGAGACCTTACGATTTGAGTAGAAAAAGTCCAATTCGATTCGATATGTTTACGAGCAACTCATTAATTATTTTATAACTTTTTAGTAGTTATCATAGAAATTTCATTTGAAAATTATTAATTTTACTAATAGATAATAAAATGATAAATTACTAATCTACTATTTTCTAATAATAATTAAAAGTACTAAAGGGGGGCAGAATCCGTTACTATGTAAAATTAATAAGTTTGCACTAATTTATAATCATTAGATTTAAATAAATAATGACTTAGATTTAATTAAAATTATTACTCATAAATAACATCTTTTAACTCACAGTAAATACTATCTTCTTTTACGCCCAAATTTAAAAATCCCAAATCATAACCCTAAAACCCAAAATTCTAACCTCCTAATCTAAAATTCTAAACCCTAAACTCAAATCCTAAATAATACATCCTAAATCCTTCACTCTAACCTAAACAATTAAACTTTAGATCCTAAACCCTAAAAATTCTAAATCTTAAACTATAATTCCTAACTCTAACCCTGATAAGAAAAGTATATATTTTACTGTGAGTTAAAATATTTATTTATGATTATAAATTTTAATTAAATCTAAATCATTTATTTATTAAATCTAATGACCATAAATTAATGTAAAACTTATAGTTTTACATAATAAGTGGATCCTAACCCATACTAAATTATTAATTATTAATTATTATTTATTATACCCAAAATCAATAATAATTTTTTATTCAATGTATTTATGGATTGTTATTTTAGTTTAAACTTTCATTTGTTTCATACATTCTTTTGATATTTTTTGGTTAAATTTATTAATTTATATTTATATTAACTTTTATAGTATCAATAGATTTACTTATAGTTAAAAAATAAAATAAAAAAATCAATGAGCTTAACTAACAACAAGTTTAATGAGTTTAATGAATAACGAGTTAAATAACAAAATTTCTTATCAAGCACAAGTCAAGTAAAATTTTAATTAGCTTAAAGTAACGAGTCGAGCAACAAATTTCTTAACGAACACGAATTAATAAAATTTTAACAAACTTAATGCAACCCAAATCTCCAATCCAAAACGACTCTAAAAATGCACCGTTTGAGACCTTCGCTTCTCTTTCACCATCGTTTGCTTTCACTAGGTGTTCAATTCGGTTTTAACCGAATTAACCGACCGAACCGAATTAGTTCGGTTAATTCGGTCGGCCACCTAATTAATTCGGTCGGGAACGGTTAAGAATTTTTTGAAATTCGTTAACGGTTAATTCGGTTCGAAATCGGTTAATTAACCGAATTAACCTTTAAATATAATTATATTAAGATACCCAATCCATTTAAATCCATTTAAACCCAATCAATATTAATTAATAAAAATAATATCAAAATTAATGCAAAATGTTTGAATCAAATTAATTAGATATTATTTATAATTAGATATTATTTAATTAATTGTAAATTATTATTTTTAATAAAATATTAAATTCTAAAATTCTAAAAAATTTCGGTTAATTCGAAATTAACCGAATTAACCGAAATTTATTCGGTTCGGTTATATTTTCGAAAAAAAAGTTCGGTTCGGTTAAGTTAAAGAAAAAAATTCGATTAATTCGAAAATAATCTAGTTCGATCGTTCGGCCACCGAATTAACCGAATAACACCCTAGCCTTCACAACCTCCAAAATGCCGGTCCGCTCTGCTCTCACTTGAAATCCCGGTCCGTAATCCGGTTCTCGGGACCCGACACCATCAAATTCCTTCAGGGTCTTTTATCAAACGATGTTCGGAGGTTTGGTGAACCCCCACGTGAAGGGAACTCCCCCATTCCTACACCGAACGTGGCCACTGTCGTAGTTCCTCCTCTGTATGCAGCTCTTTTGACGCCTCAAGGGAGGTTTTTGTATGACTTGTTCTTGTATAGGCCGCCCCGGCCTGAGGAGAATCTGGACAGAACTGGGTCGGGTCCAGGTAGTGGGGCTGATGGATCGGTGGAGATTTTGGCTGATGTTGATATGTCGATCTTGGATGAGTTGTTGGCAACTCTTAAGAGGTGGGTGTATTTAGTTTAATTATTCTCTGGAATGTTGATTTTTTTTTCTTAATGTTGCTTTTGAAAGAGAGATTTTCTGTTGTCTATATCTTCTGCATTTGGTTTACTTGGGATCTCCCATTCTGAGGTTAAATTTTCTTCTGTTGGCTTTATATAGAAAAGTTTTCTTTTGTGTTTCCGAATTCTGGATGGACCTTTAATGCCATGTATAAATTTGCCTGTGACATTAGAAATTCTCTATTATTTGTTAAATCCATAATCTGTATGAATTCTGCAGCGTTGTTGTTTCTTCCAGAAATGATTTATTAAAGAGATATATCTGAAAATGTTCTTGTTTCTTTACGACATTTGACAATAGTAAAGTGATGTGTGCTTGTCTCTTATGGTAATACTGAATTTAGAATTCCTCTTAGTGGTTTCTGGTATCTGCTGTATTTGCTATTTGCAGATACCGGTTGAGGTCTAAAGTAGATATCGATAATGTGGAAGGCGACTTCTGTTGTTGGCAGAGATACGGTGGTAACCTTTCTGGAAAGACCCCTGCTGTTGAGGAACCAGAGGCAGCTTCAGTTGGTTGGGGCAGTGGTGTTGATGGTTCTAGCAAGTCAGCTTCACATGGCAGTGATGTTGGATGTCAATGGTCCAAGGATCCCAGATTAGATTGTCTAGGTTTTAGGGGGATTTTTCCGTCTGGTTCAATGCGTGAGTTCACAAATCTTTTGTTGCTTCTGAAATGTATTCATGTCTACATTTTTAACTCAAGTCATTGTTTTGAGATTATAATTGATTTAGGATCATATCGTTCCTTAAGAAGTCGTGCATGCAATTAATTTTGTCCCTGTAGTAGACCCAATTTATCACTTTCGCCTCTATCGTATTTTCGCATCAATTTAATCCTCGAAGTTGCTCAATTGTATCATTCTATACCTATCCCCAACTTAAAATACTAAATTATAAACCTTAAACCCTAAAACATAACCATGTAACTTCTAAATCATAAACTTTAAACTCTAACTTAAGTTTATGATTTAGGGTTTTAAGATAAGGGTAGGTTATAGAATGATGCAATTGGACAACATTAAAGGTTAAATTGATACGAAAATACGATAAAAGCGAAAATAGTTTCTTGCAGCACCTTTAGTTGAGTCTCATAAAGCAACAGATGAAAGAAATACCTTATGTGTAGTAGAGAAGGAGTTGCTGAGGGCTCAACTGAAAACTCCGAAAGGTGCTTTTTTTTGCTTTGTTGCCAATCGTGTACTTAAGTTTCTTGAATATATTAATGTATGTTTCCGAAGGTTTAACCTATTGTGCCCAGTCTCGGTTGTGATATTGTTATTATGTTGTTTAGGGGAAGCAATTCCACTTGAATACAATTTTGCTGGGCTAAACGCAATCAGCTTTGATAAAGGGTGCTATGTCGGGCAAGAACTTATAGCACGTACGCACCACGGGGGGGGGGGGGGGGTTATTTTGCAAGCGGTTGCTTCCTTTAAAGTTTCTCGATATATGGAAAGGTAGTCTCGTCCACTGGGCTTTGATAATTTTAATTATTTTGCAGCAACACATCTTGATACTTCTATATTCAGGGGTTGAGGGAAAAGTATCCCTGGTTCAGAGGTGATCGACACTGTCTCTAATAAGAAGCAAGGGAGTGTGACCACTGCACTAGCTTCCGGGGAGGTGTTTTGCGGCTTGACATGCCTTCGAAGATACATTGGCAATCCAGGGGCAGGAGGATATAAAGGTTATGGCAATTAGACCAGATTGGTGGCCTGAGAATGGTTTCAGATCAACAACATACCGACACAGCATAAACCGATTTTGCCTGAATTGATAGTTGTTCAGGCCATTGGTTGGCCCTCATGCACACAATGGTACAACTTTTCAGAACTTATTTTACAACAGCTAAATTTTTTCTCATCGCTAAAGAAAATAAAAGAAACAAGGGGAGCTGTTCTCCAAGAGACATTTATTAACCTTGATGTCACTAGTCGGTAGTTGAGCTCGTTTTGCTGGCCCAGTGCCTTAGGAGATACGAAATTGTATTTATCAAATTGTGTGATTAGAAAGTTATTTCTCCCCATATCTCCTTTGGTTTTGCTTTTTATTATTGCTAGTCATCAGGGAGACTCCTCCCAAGCATTCCAGCTATCTGCAACTCCACTTTAAGCAATATTGCTATCTTTTCAACACTCAATCATCATAGTACCCTGTCAAAAGATCTACAACACCAGCAAAAAGCAAATTTCAGTGATCTCTTTGGTCCATCATCATCAGTTCTCAAGTTGGAGAAAAAGAATGCCTATCTATTGCTGACACTGCAATCATTAGCTCTTTAATTATTGTCTCCATGTTCGGTCCTGTTATTAGGTTCTTCATGGGTGCAATCGAGTGCAATTTTCCCCAGCTTAGCTGCCATGGACTCTGAAAATGTCCTCTGAGATTTGTATCAACAAAATCTTCAATCCTACTAGATTCAGCCCCCGATCGAATTGAGCTTGTGAGTTGAAGTTTACCCAGACAAGATTTGGAGAATAATAACCCCAAATGCAAATACTCGGTCTTTTCTGTAAAACGGCCGGTTGTAATGTATTCTGGTGCTAGATAACCCATTGCTGCACTTACTTTCAGAGTTGAGTAGACAATGTCGTCGGCTAGAATCTTATGGAGACCAGAGTCTGCATCAATGGGTTGAATTGTTGGTCGATGAGAACTTTCTCGACGGATATGTTGCGGTGGACTATGGGCGGCTTGTTTGCTTCACTTTTGTGCAAATATTCTATACCTGTTGGAGCAAAATACAAGAATTTAGTCAAAGAGGAAAATATGATTGTTGCTTGTAGTTATGGAGCATAAACCTGATCTGAAACTGACCTTTTGCAATGCCATTGATGATGGAAATCCTTGTTGGCCAGTCAAGAACTGGTTCAATTCCATCTTCTAGATCGAGGTATTCGGACAGGTTTCCCTTGGAAGCAAAGTCATAAATGAGGAAACATTCGCCTCTGCCCCTTGAGAAGCAAAAGCCTTTCAGCCTCACAAGGTTTTCATGTTGTAACGACGTTAGTAAGTACAAGCCCTTAACGAACTCGGCTTCCTCAGATTTGCAGCTGGTTACATTTATGCTTCTGATGGCTACAGGAGAACGGTCTCTTAGAATCCCTTTGTACACACATGAGAAGTTGGTCTTTCCCAGTAAATTCGACTTGGAAAAGCATCGAGTTGCTGACTCAACTTCTTCTAGGTTGAACCTAAATTTATTCAGATTTTCCTGGGAAAATCCAATGCCTTTCCATCCATCACCTAATGGGTCCCACCCATATGAGTATTCAAGATCAAGGAGTGGTGAAACACTCCCATTTCTTTGAAATCTTTTGCCTGGTCAATGCTAATGCTCTCTTCAGAAGGACCAGATGTATTTCCAATCTTCTGTTTCTGCCTACGGCAGTGAACAAATGTGAGGAATCCAGCAACCAAACATGAAAGTAAGTACAGTAACCCCTGAAATAACAGGTATTTCCGGGAATCTGGATCGATGTCGGCAATGAGTGTTGTTGCAATTTCCCTGGATATTTGATGTGTTCAAGTTAACTCCAGGTGCTGGAGCAGTGTTATTTAGATGTGATCTGAATGGTTTAGCTGGTTAATTTCATATATCAAAAGGGCCGCAAGTTCTCAATGTTTGAAATCCTGTTCCACACAGACCTGGGTTGTTGTCACCTTGAATCCTCCTTTTAATCTCTTCAACCTTTACAGACACAAATCAGCCTTAAGTTAACATAAAGAATCGAATCACACAAGGAATCTATGAAGGTGTTAGCGTATGAGAAAATTGTTACCCGAAGGGACAATTCCAGATAGGGATTGTTTCGGATATCTAGAATTTCCAGTTGTGGGATGTCGGTTAAAGTTCGAGGAATTGTATCAAAGAGACTATTGAAGCTCAAGTCAAGTCTTCTTAACATTCTCAAGTTGCCTAAGCTGGCTGGGATTTGACCATCTAGTCTATTATATTGCAGAGCAAGAACACTTAGTCGCTTCAATGAACCAATCTCCGTCGGTATGTTCCCTGTCAGCTGATTGCAACACAACTGAAGAACTACATGGCAAATAAATTTTGTTCATTGTCTGTCCTAATTATCATCAATATCAAACAAACAGTAAGATTGAAATAATTTGTTTTGAGATGAACTAACCTTGTAAAGCAGCCATGTTTCCAATCTCAGGAGGAATGTTACAGACAGATCGTTAACATTAAGATAAAGATCAGTTAATTCCTGAAGTTGTGAAAGCTCTACCGGTATCTTCCGGACAATGAATTGTAATGCAAGTACAAGCCAGAGAGACACTTGAGTCTCGCAATACAGGCGAGAGTTCACCAGAAAGACCCTTTCCCTGCAAAGAAATGTTTAGCCACCTTACGGTGCTCGTTACAAGCCACACCCGCGAAAAAACCACCGCAAGGGTCACCGTCACTTTTCCACGACTCCAGCACCTTGTTTGTTGGGTCTAAAGAAGCCTTCAGGTCCATTAGAGCTCTAAGCTCCGTGTTCCCATGAACACACCGTGTGAACAAAAGAAGAAAGAAGAGGAACCGAAAGACACCCATCTTTTCCCTTGGCTCAAATCTTCCAGGGTTTCCTCTCTATTTAAGAAAACGATGAAAAAAGATCAAAGAAAACAACACATATCTGCTTCTTTAAGAGCTCTGTCTGTTCCTGTAGAAGTTTGTAGTAAGTCCTGTCCAGTATTTAATGAAATCAAGAACAAGATAGTGAGAACAGAGAGGTAACTCGGGGAGAGAGACAGAAGTGCAGAGCTTGGTGCATGCCAAAGTTGAAACAGAGAATGCACAATTAGGGATGTAAAAAGACGACTCGAACTATAAAATTGACTACTACCGATTCTAGTTAAATTTTTTTTGACTTGAGCAGTGGTAATCCGGAATCAAATCTGAACGGGTGTTTACTGAACCAGAGCTGGATCTGAAAATTATGTATCTAAATCCGACTTACATTCGATATAATAATAACATGAACCTGAATTGAACTGATAATAAGATAATTGAACCCGACCTGCATCCGATTGAAATAAACCCGAACTTGAGTTTAACCTGGTAAATAATTGGTATTACCCGACCTATAATTGACCGACTTGTAAATAATCTGACTTGTTATTGAACTGATTTGATATTTATCTGACTTATAAGTTACAATAAATGAAGTTGTGAGATTTTGAATTTATAATAAATTATATTACTTATAACCTACAATTGATGTAATTGTAAGATTTTAATGAAATTGTTATATTTTAAATTTATAATAAACTATGATAATTAATATGATTATTTTTTAAAATGTAAAACAAATTATTAGTTATAATAATTAAATTAATAAATTTACTTTTTATATTAGTTATAATTCTTATATTATAAATCTTAATTATAATCATTAAATTAATTTAATTAAATAATTTATTTATTGAACATGATTTTATTAGATTATATAAAATTAATTTAAATATTTATAAGTTTAATTTATTTTTATGTAATAGTTAATTAATAATTTAAATATAATTTAATTTAAAATTTTAAAATATATATAAAAGATAAATTTAGTTGAGATTGAAAATTAAAATTTTAAATTTAAGTATCGATTTAGAATAAACTATATATATATATATATATATATATATATATATATATATATTCATATGAGTTTAATCAAAAAATTTCACATGAGTGGTAGGAATTTAAAGGTGGAAATCGGAAAATTTTGATTTTATAATTGGTATATTTAATTAAGGGTGTTCATTTTTTGGTTTTAATCGACGGAACTGAATTAGTTCGGTTAATTCAGTGAGTCACCGAATTAGTTATGTCGGGGAATAGTTAATAAATTTTTTAGAATTCGGTTAACGGTTAATTCGGTTCGAAATCAATTAATTAACCGAATTAACAAAAATTAAATTTTAAATTTTAAATATATTATATATAGCATATGGGTTCAACCCAAATCATTTAAAATTCAATTAATAATTTAAGATCCAATAACTTTTAAACCTAAATCAATATTAATTAATTAAAAAAATCATATAATTTTTTATTTTATAAATATATATATTTTAAATTAATTGTAAATTGTTTTTTTTGAATTAAAAAATATTCAATTTTTATATAAATTAGAAAATTTTAAAAAAAATCGGTTCGGTTAATATTTTCAAAAAATAAGTTCGGTTCGGTTAACGATTAAAGAAAAAAACGTTTTAACCGAATGAACACCACTATATTTAGTGGTGGGAAAATTTTTGAAGAAATTTTGGCAATTTAAAAATATTTAGGGAAATTTTCGGACATAGAGGGAAGGTTTTAATGCCTAAAGAAATGGTTTGAGTTAATTAGGTCCGCAATCCTCCAACAATCAACACGTTTTTATTTCGCTATTTGATTTTTTATTTTTCTCATTTCCGTCATGGTTTAATTTATTTAAATTATAGTTTGTAATTTCATGTTTAATCAATTTAATCCTTCAAATTATATTATAAAATCTAAAACTTTATAAACTTTTGTTCCTGAACTTTTTAAATGAAAGCAATTAAATCATTTTTATATTAATTTCAACTTCATATTTTACAATTATTTTGATTTGATCCCTATGTGTTGTTTAATTTATTTAAATCTAACTTATAATTTCATATTTTTCAATTTAGTCCTTAAAATTATATTGTATATGAAAATTGACCTTATTTATTTATATTTT